TTTTTTTTTTTTTTTTTTTTTTTTTTTTTTTTTTTTTTTTGAAACAGGTTCTCACTCTTTCACCCAGGCTGGAGTGCAGTGGCACAATTATACCTCACTGCAGCCTCAACCTTCTGAGCTCAAGCCTTCCTCCACCTCAGCCTCCCGAGTAGCTGGGACTACAGACATTCACCACCATGCCCAGCTGACTATTTTTTGCAGAGATGGAGTCTTGCTATGTTGCTCAGGCTGGCCTCAAACTCCTGGGTTCAAGAGACCTTCCCACCTCGGCCTCCCAAAGTGTTGGGATCACAGGCATGAGCCACCACACCTACCCAGATAGTTTTTGTTTGTTCTGAAATGGAGTCTTGCTCTGTCGCCCAGTCTGGAGTGCAGTGGCTTGATCTCAGTTCACTGAAACCTCCACCTCCCATGTTCAAGCAATTCTCCTGCCTCAGCCTCCTGAGTAGCTGGGACTACAGGTGCCTGCCGTCAAGCCCAGCTAATTTTTTTTTTTTTTTTTTGAGACGGAGTTTCACTCTTGTTACCCAGGCTGAAATGCAATGGTGCGATCTTGGCTCACCACAACCTCCACCTCCTGGGTTCAGGCAATTCTCCTGCCTCAACCTCCTAAGCAGCTGGGATTACAGGCACGCGCCACCATGCCCAGCTAATGTTTTGTATTTTTAGTAGAGACGGGGTTTCACCATGTTGACCAGGATGGTCTCGATCTCTTGACCTCGTGATCCACCCGCCTCGGCCTCCCAAAGTGCTGGGATTACAGGCTTGAGATACCGCGCCCAGCTAGTTTTTGTATTTTTATAGAGACAGGGTTTCACCATGTTAGCCAGGCTGATCTTGAATTCCCGACTTCAGGTGATCCACCTAACTCAGCCTCCCAAAGTGCTGGGATTACAGGTTTGAGCCACCACACCCAGCCAATAGTTCTTGAGGAAAAATAAAAGTGCTTCACCAGAGGCAGGGCATGGTGGCTCAAGCCTTTAATCCCAACACTTTAGGAGGCCAAGGCAGGAGGATCACTTGAGCCCAGGAGTTGGAAGCCAGCCTGGACAACATTGCGAGACCCCGTCTCTACTAAAAACTTAAAAAAAAAAAAAAAAAAAAAAAAAAAGGCCTATCTTGTCTTTCAACATGCCTTTCTCACTGAGCTTAACTATTTCTAGCCCTTGATGTGAAGTGGGAGATTTGCAACTCTTCCTTACATTTGAACACTTAGAGGCTATTGTAGGGTTACTAATTTCAAACAGCTGGTTGGTGGAACAGTTAGAATGCATACAATATTGATGGATTAAGTTTGCCCTCTTAAACAGGCATCATTCATGGTGCCTCAAAACAATTACAATAGTAACAGCAAAGATTATTGAGTTCAGATCACCATATTAGATATAACAACAAACTTTGAAATATTGCAAGAATTACCAAAATGTGGCACAGAGACACAGACTGAGCATGCTTTTGAAAAAATGATGCCGGGAGACTTTGCTCAACGCAGGGTTGCCAAAACCCTTCAATTTGTGAGAAACGCAGTATCTGCAAAGCACAAAAAAGCAAGGCATAATAAAACAAGGGATGTGCCTATTTTCTTTGACTCTCACCAAACCCTTATATTTCCAAAACATGAGAAAATGGAGGCTCAGAAGGTGTGGCTGATTTGCCTAAATCACCTGGCTACTAACCAAGTCCCAGTGCCACCGACCTTTCACCACAAAATACTGTCCCCCAAAGACTTCAGGATAAGCTCAGCTGTGAAGCCTTAGGCACACAGCCAGACACAAGTGGGCACTCAGAAATTAGTTAAGTGAGTAAATACCCAACAACTAGGAGAAAGCTAAGCAAATTGTGGTTGACCAACAAGATACTACAAGACTTTTCAGGAGGAAGATGTGGAATTCCACCTATCAACATTAGATGAAAATGCAGAACCTCATATAACAGCCACAAATCTCTTAGATCGCAGAGGCAGGTCTCCATCCACTTGGTCTCAGTTACCCAGAGCTGAGTCACCACCTACCCTCCCTCCAGTCTCTTCACAGCATTCGGCAGGAACCTGCTGGGACTCTACTGCCCACAGGGCCAAATCCAAATTCTTCATCCTGGCCTTCTCGGCCCTTCCATCTCAACCAATCCAGTTGTTTCCTAAATTAGTCACTTTCCCAGGCCTTTGCTGGACTCTTCCCTCTACCTCACAGAACCCCATCTTCTCCTTTATCCCAAGACTCGACTTGGCTCATATGCACTCTTAGTGAATGCTGGTGCCTTTCCTCACTTCCATCAAAAAGAGAGTGGTGGCCAGGAAGGTGGCTCACCCCTGTAATCCCAGCACTTTGGGAGGCCAAAGCAGGCAGATCACCTAAAGTCAGGAGTTTGAAACCAACCTGGCCAACATGGTGAAACTTCGTCTGTACTGAAAATACAAAATTAGCTGGGCATGGTGGCGCACGCCTGTAATCAAGGAAGCTGAGGCAGGAGAATTGACTGAACCTGGGAGGCAGAGGTTGCAGTGAGCCAAGATCGCACCACTGCATTCCAGCCTAGGCAACAAAAGCAAAACTCCATCCCCCAAAAAAAAAACAAAACCGGAAGCAGCTCACTTTTTGGTTTTTTTTTTTGTTTTTAACAAAGGTGGATTTATTCATTTGAACCTATATGATCACCAAGTTCACTAGAAACTGGCAGGATGAACCTGGAGCCCCATATCCAAGAGTCTCTGGTTTTGGGCTTTTCTGGTATGGAGACACGGAACTGACTTAGATGACCTGGGCAGCCAGATTGGGCTGGGCTTGGATGCCCTTCCTTCTTCTCCTACTCTCTCCCAGCTTCCTCTCAGGGGTCAGGACCCCAAACTCGGTATCAGGCAAGTCTCTTCTTCCCTTATCAACCCAGTTTCTTCATATATGGGGAAAAAAAGGTGGGGAGAGCTTATTATCACAATGTTTCTTTTTAATTTAGAAAGAGGGGGAGAAGGCCAGGCTCACACTTGTAATTCCAACACTTTGGAAGGCTGAGGTGGGTGGATCAGTTGAGGTCAGGAGACCAGCCTGGCCAACATGGTGAAACTCCGTCTCTATTAAAAACACAAAAATTAGCCAGGCATGACGGTGGGCGCCTTTAGTCCCAGTTACTCGGGAGGCTGAAGCAGGAGATTCACTTGAACCCGGGAGGCAGAGGTTGCAGTGAGCTGAGATCGTGTCACTGCACTGCACTTCAGCCTGGGTGACAGAGCAAGACTGTGTCTCAAAAAAAAAAGGGTGGGAGAGAAAAATGACAACAAAATAACTTATCACTTGGAAGAAATTTTCCCACAAAAGTTCTCATCAAGTATGTCCAAAGTCCCTCCTTCTTGAGACACTGTAAGCTGTCAATAAATATACGTTGGCCATGCCCCTAGATTGGCACGCAGAGACTTACCCCATTTTAAAAGCCCGCAGTAGAGGTCTCAGAGTTGCTATAAGGAACCAGCTCCTGGTGAGGGGTATTTAGCTGTTTGCAATTTCCCCGAACAGTTCTGTAAAGAACAATCATCTATAAGTATTTATCTTTGTTGAACAGCTGCTTCTTTTTGTTTTGTTTTTAGAGACAGGGTTTCACCATGTTGACCAGACTGGTCTTGAACTCCTGACCTCAGGTGATCTACCCGCCTCCCAAAGTGCTGAGATTACAGGCATTAGCCACCACGCCGGGCCTGTACAGCTACTTCTAAAGATAGACTCCTAGAAGTGGAATTACTGGCTTAGAGAATCCACACATTTTAAATGCTGATACTTACTGGTTGAGAAACTTTACACAGTAATTCTCAAACTCTGTCCTTAGGCTTTACCTGTGAAGCTAGTTTATGCGCAAAATCTGACCGGCTCCCAGGCTCCCTCCACCCCTACCCCATCCTCCAGGAGGCAATCTGGAGGGGCTATACGTTTTTTGTTATGCAGCTCTTAGGTGGAGGAGGAGGCAGTGACTCCTTTCCATTTCCCCAACCTCATCTAGCACCAAACTTGGGAAGCACTGGTCGAAGGGGCTGCTGCAGGCACAATTTTTGGGTGAGGCCTCTGCCTCTAGCCCAGTCCCCCAGTGACTTCCCTAAAAACGACAGAGTGTGGCTTTGAGGCACACAGGAGAAAATGCCTAGTTTGGGGTTCAAGCTCAGTGGCCACTACCAGAGTCCCCTCTCCAGGCTCACCTCATTTCCCCTGGAGCTCCCCTCTTCTGAAGGTTCCGGTCCCATACATTTCCTGGAAGTTAAGGCCCATGGGTTTTACATTTCTTACTGAAGACAACCCAGATCTGGCTTTTTCTTTCAGAGGGCCGTGGAGGAAGCACCATTTATTTGGCCAAAAAATTGTTTCTGACCCACACTGTGGGCCTCAGTTTCCCTCTCTGTGAAATGAAGAGCAACGGGCAGTGCCACTGACATCTCACCTGCTGCTGTGAGAAGGTTTCTAACATTTGCAGGGAGTCTGGCTTCGATGGGGTGTCCAGGTGAAACCTTAACAATCCTTTAATCAACATTCTGATTGGCTTAGGGCCTGTTTGGAAAAAAAATTAAGAGTTTTGTTTCCACAGTTCTCCATTGCTAAAGGGCAATTAAGACCAAAAGCTGTTTTCAAGGCAATTTCCAAGCTCAAGGGCCCTAGATATACAGGCCTAGGCCTGTCCAGATAGAGGGCTGGGGGACGTGGGGGGATGCCCTAGGGAAGTTGGTTAACAGGTATTTCACAGTATATGGTACCCACAGCAGACAGCCGAGTAAGACCGTGCTGACCGGGGTTGGGGAGGTCAAGGAAAACCATCTGGAGTAGGATGTAACCGGCAGAAGAGGAAAAAGAAACCAGGCAGTAACTCGGGGAGCTCCTCGACTGATTGTCTGAGGCCGGGCACAAGGGGTAAGAGCTCAGGCTTCACTATCGACCGACCTGGCCTGAATGACACCGGTTGACTGTGTGACAAAAGCAAATCAAGACCCACTCTGAGGCTGAGTAAGCCAGAGACTTACATAGGACAGCACCTACCCCATCACCCGAGGATGAGACGGGATGTCACACACGAAGTGCCCCTTACAGCATCGTTGAAAGCGTTGGCTGTTTTCACCTCTGGCAGCCTCCCTGTGAGCCCAACAACGTGCTTTCTGAGCTTAGGGCGGAAGGCGGCCTCCCAGACTCTACAGGCCCTTGAGGGCATAACAGGCGTCCCCATCACAGCCCAGTTCTTTATCAGCTGCGGTTAACTGCCCGGACTAACTGGCCTCAGTTTCCCCTCGAGGCAATGAGAGCAATCGAAAAGCCGGCAGGACGTCTGGTGCGGGGCGCGAACTGACAAAAGTTAGAATTTCCAGGAGTTCCCCCTTCGGTAACGACCCCCACCCCAGCGAGGAGCACAGTAGGCGCTCCGGAAACGCCCTCCACAAGGAGGGCCGGGCCACTTCCTGCCCCCAAGCGTGCTCTCCCGGGCCGAGGCTCCCACCGCCGCTCGGGGGAGGCCATGCAGCATTCCTGAGGGCGGGGTGGGCGCAGGAAGAAGGTGCCCGAGGCCCCGCCCCCTCCGGGCGCGCTGGGCGGGGCGAAGCCCCTCGGCGCCGTCGGCCCGCCCCTCAGGGGGTGGGCGCAGCTCGCCGCGCTCCGCACAAAGTTTGTTTTCTCCCTCAGGGCGGGTGGGGGAGGGCACGGAGGGCGCGGGGGGAGGAGAGGGGATCTGACGTCAGGCCGCGAGGTGCTTTCCAGCCGCGAGCTGTCAGGCCGAGTGTCAGGCCGGGCAGGTACGCGGCGCGCGCCCCCGGCGCCCCCTGCCCCCCCGCCGGAACGTCCAGCGCCGAGCCCTAGGCCGCGTGAACCCGAAAGCCGCTCGGAAAAGTCAGTGCAGGGAGCAAGAGGGGGCCAGATGGGGGTGGGGGTGCGCGGACAACTTGAAAAGTTTCTTTCTCTCGGTCGGGCGGGGGAGGGGGCGTCGTCCTGGCGCTTGCAGTTGGGGGTGTGTGAGCTCGGGGGTGTTAGTGAGTCCCGGCGGCCCCCGAGAGGTGTTTGTGAGTCTGGACGGCGCTGCGGTTCCAGCCCCCGGGAGGAAGCCCGCTCGGGGCCCTGGTGGGGGCCCAGCTCCCTAGGATCCCACCCCGGGAGAGGGCCGCTCCTGCGCCAGACCTGAGTGAGCGCGCGGGGGGGGCGGATTTGTTTGGTTTCAAAAGTGCACGTTGCTAACCGCCGGTAGGGCCCCCCCGCCTCCGAGCCAGGGAGGGGGCGGCCAAGAGTGACAGCTGGGGGTGGGGGCCGCGGGAAGGGCCCGGAGCGGGGGGGCCCTGGGGAGCCCGCGCGAGTTCCCCTTTCCTTTGGAACAAAGGAAAGTCTGTCTCCGAGGCATCTGTCACTCCCAGGCGGGCCAAGGAAGCGGGGCGCGTGGGGCCGGCGCCCCGGAGAAAGTTTGTTCGCGCCGGGACCCTCGGGCAGGCCAGGGGTGAGCGGAGCCTCCGGCAGGAGAAACGCTCAGTCTCGGGGGCAGGGGGCGGCCAACATGGAGTCTGGGCGCAAGGCGGGGGGGGGGGGGGCGGCGCGGAGGTGGGAGCCCAGCCCCCTCCCCTCTTCTCCCCTCCCCTCCCCCTCCGGGCCGAGTTCGGAGCACAAAGCCGAGCGCGCACGCTCGGCCGGCCCCGCGCCCCGAAGAGTCTGCCAGCCCCAAGCTGCGGGGGAAGGGGGTGGGAACCAAACTTTTTTACTGCCCCGGGACAGACACGTGAGTTCCTTTCTTCCAGAGCCCCCGCCCCACTGGGATGGTGGGCCCGCGAGCGAGCTGTTGCGCGGAGTCGGCCTGGGGTGGGGGTGAGGGGCTGGGGGGTGCAGGCTCCCCGAGCGCCGGCCGATTCCTCGCCGCCCCGGGAGCCATGTGCTCAGACTCGGTCTGGGCCGCGGGAGAGGTTGCGCGCTTTGTCTGAACTGCTGGGAATGCGGGCGTGAGTGCGCCGCCCGGGGGAGTGTCGGGGCCGAGCTAGGGGAGTTGTCAGAAAGTTGGTGCGGGAGTGGCTGCAGGTGGCATCGTGGGAGTGTGTAGGAGGGTGCATGGGATGTTGTATCGAGGGGGTGCTGCCACAGGCCACTGAAGGTAGAATTGATTGCTAGAGTGATGACGCCCGGAGTTTTTCCTGTGGGAGAGATCGGGGTGGGCGGGTACAGAAGTTGGGCTTGTTGCGTGGGTCACAGTTGTTCGGGCTAGGCGTGAGGTCTGTAAGCTCTGTGTGTGCCTGCTGTATGTGTCGGTGAAAACCCTAGGGTTTGTAGGGCTTGAGCGATGGGTCAGGCCAGTTATCATAGCCCTGTTGGTTAGTTGCCTGGCGTGTGTCTGGGTGCAGTGTGGGTGTATATGTGGGAAATCTCCCAGACTATAGATGGGCCTGGGATGCAGGACACCCAGGAGAAGTTTGTGTAGACTGAGGGGTCATTTCCCCAGGGCCCACCCGGAGAACCCTGCAGACAGACTTGGCTGGCAGCCAGGGTGGGATTTGTACAGATAACCTTGAGTAAACTTTTCACAGCCGGTGAGGGCTGCATCCCTGAGCCCAGATCCCAGCTGCCCTGGCCACCTAGAAATGTCTGACCTCAGAAAGCAGTCTGCTGATGGTGCTCTGTGAGGAGTGGCACCTCTAACCAGTGCCTGTCTCACCTCCAGGTGGCCTGGCTGAAAGGGTAGACCCTTCCCTCGAAAGCCTGGCCTAGCCAGCCCAGAGATCTGGGCTCAGGTCCAAGAGGAGGAAACAAAACCTGGGAGATGCCAGAGTCTGTTGGCCGGCCTGCTGGGGAGCTGTTAAAAGGCTGAGAAGGGAGGAGCCTTGAGATCCTGGCATCAGCCTGGCCTAGAACTTTTGCTTTTAAAATGAAAATCTGGCCAGGCAAGGTGGCTCACATCTATAATCCCAGTACTTAGGGAGGCCAAGACAGGTGGATCACCTGAGGTCAGGAGTTCAAAACCAGTCTGGCCAACATGGCAAAACCCCGTCTTTACTAAAAATAAAAAAAAACTAGCTGGGTGTGGTGGCGCACGCCTGTAGTCCCAGCTATTTGGGAGGCTGAGGCAGGAGAATTGCTCGAACCCAGGAGGCAGGTTGCAGTGAGCCGAGCTCACACCACTGCACTCCAGCCTGGGCGATGGACCAAGACTCCATGTCAAAAAAAAAAAAAAGTAAAGAAAAGAAAAGAAAATCTTTTTTGCATGTATGAGACAGAACACATGTCCGGGGCCTGAGCAGCTGAGTTGGGTTATCTAGGGAAAATCCTTCCTTCATTTGACAGGTGAAGAGGGGAGCTTGGCCTCCCAAAGCGCTAGGAGTACAGGTGTGAGCTACAGCAGTTGGCATTTTTATTATTACTATTTTTTTTTCTTTTTTTTTAGTAGAGGGGTTTCACCATCTTGGCCAGGTTGATCTCAAACTCTGACCTCAGGTGATCCACCCGCCTCAGCCTTCCAAAGTGCTGGGATTACAGGTGTGAGCCACCACACCCAGCCTATTATTACTATTATGATTTTAGAAACAGGGTCTCTCAGTCCCAAAGGTCTGTTAAAAAAAAAAAAAAGAAACAGGGTCTCACTCTGTTGTCTAGGTTGACATGCAGTGGTACGATCACAGCTCACTGCAGCCTTGAACTCCTGAGTTCAAGAATCCTCTCACCTCAGCCTCAGAGTAGCTAGTACTACTGGCACACCAATACACTGGGCTAATTTTTATTTTATTTTATTTTTTTCTTTTGTTGAGACCGAGAATTGCTCTGTAGCCCAGGCGGGGGTGCAATGGCACATTCTCGTCTCACTGCAATCTCCAGCTCCCAGGTTCAAGCAGCTCTCCTGCCTCAGCCTCCTGAGTAGCTGGGATTACAGGCACTGGCCACCACACCCAGATAATTTTTGAGATGGAGTCTCTGTCGCCCAGGCTGGCGTGCAGTGGCACCATCTCAACTCACTGTAACTTCTACCTCCTGGGTTCAAGCGATTTTTCTGACTCAGCCTCCCGAGTAGCTGGGATTACAGGCATGTACCACCACACCCAGCTAATTTTTACATTTTTGGTAGAGATGGGGTTTCACTATGTTGGCCAGGGTGGTCTCCATCTCCTGACCTTGTTATCTGCCCACCTTGGCCTCCCAAAGTGCTAGGATTAAAGGCATGAGCCACTGCACCCAGCCTCAAACCCGGCTAATTTTGGTGTTTTTAGTAGAGACTGGATTTCACCATGTTGGCCAGGCCGGTCTCAAACTCCTGGGTTCAAACAGTCTACCCGCCTCAGCCTCCCAAAGTAATGGGATTTCAGGCGTGAGCCACTACACCCAGCCCTAATTTTTATTTTGTGTAGAGAAAGGGCCTTTTTAAAAATCATTATCTTTTTATGTTTTTAAAGAGGCAGGGTTTCTCCATGTTGGTCAGGCTGGTCTCGAACTCCCGACCTCAGATGATCCACCCTCCTCGGCCTCCCAAAGTACTGGGATTACAGGCGTAAGCCACCATGCCCAGCGAGAAAGGGGCTTAGTATGTTGCCCAGGCTGGTCTTGAACTCCTGGCCTCAAGGGATCTTCCTGCCTTAACCTCCCAAAGCATTTAGATTGCAGGCATGAGCCACCACACCTGGCCCAGGATGTTTTTGCCCCTTCAGAAAGAAACTCCATACACTTTAGCTACCACTCATCCTTCTATCTCCACAGCCCTAACTGCGGAGCTGTTAGTTAGCTAATCTACCCTGCCCCTATAGAGTTCATGATCCGTGGAATCATATAACATGTAGTCTCTTATGACTGGCATTTTTCCCTTAGCATAATGCTTTCAAGGACTATGTTGTAGCATGTGTCAAGATTTATTTTTTTTTAAGATGGAGTTTTTTTGGCTCTTGTTGCCCAGGCTGGAGTGCAGTGGCACAGTCTTGGCTCAATGCAACCTCCATCTCCTGGGTTCAAGGAATTCTCCTGCCTCAGCCTCCTGAATAGCTGGGATTACAGCTGCACGCCACCATGCCCAGCTTTCTTTTTTTGAAACAGAGTTTCACTTTGTCACCCAGGCTGGAGTGGAGTGGCACAAACACAATTCACTGCAGCCTTGACCTCCTAGGCTCAAGCAGTTCTGCCTCAGTCCACAAGTAGGTGGGCCTACAGGTACGCACCTCAACACCTGGCTGATTTTTGTTTTTTTTTTTTTTTGTGTGAGCCACTGTGCTGGCCTTGGGCAGCTTTCTTAATCTCTTTCTCTTACCTCATCTATGAAATGATGATAATAATAGCTTCTTCCTTATTGAGGACTTATAATGATTAAATGAGATAACATGTAAAATGCTCAGTACAGGCTGGGCACAGTAGTTCAACACCTGTAATCCCATCACTTTGGATGGCTGAGGCCAACAGATCACTTGAGGCCAGGAGTTCGAGACCATCCTGGCCATGGTCAGGTGAAACCCCGTCTCTACCAAAAAATACAAAAATTAGCTGGGTGTGGTGGCAGGCGCCTGTAATCCCAGCTACTCAGGTGGCTGAGGCAATAGAATCACTTGAACCCAGGAGGCAGAGGTTGA